CGCCGCCGCCGCCGCCGCGCCGTCCGACGGCTTTGCGTCGGTCGCCGCGGTCATGAAGGACGCGACGTCGAACTCATCGAGCGCGGCGCGCTCGTCGCTGGTGCGGGCGAGCGCGTGCTTGCGCATCTGGCCGAGCTTGAGTGCGACCGACCCGAGCGGGCGCACCTGCTGGTTGTTGTGCTCGCCCGTCCGCGCCTGCACCGCGCGCGCCACCGCGACGCACAGCTGGTTCTGCCACGAATCGCGCTGGCACGCCTCCTGCACGGTGATGCTTGGGAAGCTGGGGGGCGACTCTGCAAGGTCCGGAGCGTGCGTCGAGAGGAAGTCCTTGGACTTTAGGCAGTCAAGCACGACGGTGACCTCGGCCGCCGCCCAAGCGTTGGGGACATTCTTGCCGCCGCCGCGTCGAGGGGGCATGCCACGCAAGCAGTGGCGGCGGGAGACACAGAGCAGGTCAAAAGTCACAGCGCCGCTCGATGGAGTGCGGCCGCGACGCAATTTCTCCTTCTGCCTTTTTTGTGCTCTTTTTTCTTTTCCCCTCTGAGTGCACCCCCCCCCCCACCCACACTCACTCACCTTCTTGAGATCTTCTCACCCTCCCGTCGCCCCCTCACTCCCTTGCCCCGTACCACATAGCCGGCCTCCCGTCGTCCGGGTTCTGCGCCCTCGCGACCGCCAGCATCTTGTCCTCGGCCACGTACCTCGAACGGCCCAGCAGCTCGTCCAGCTTCCCCGTCCGAGGGGCGAGCGCCTACGCGCGGGGCGTGGCTCAGAGCGGGCTGGGCAGTGCCTGCGGGGCGCGTGCACCGCGCGCGCCCGCTCGAGCGACCCCATGGCGCCAATGCGCAGCTTCCAGACGCCCGGCGAACCCGCTCCCTTGGCGACGAAACCGCCGCCGTCGCGCGCCACGGATCCCGGCTTTCCGCGCCGCGACACAACGCGGTAGTGGTCGCCGTCCACTGCGATCGCCGCCCAGTTGTCGACACCGATTCCGTCCTCTCCCGAGTGGTGGCGCAGCATCGCGGTGAAGTCGTCGGCTCGCTCGACCCCGTTGGAGCCCGTGACGTCATAGTGCGGGCAGCACAGTCCCTTGAGCAGCCCAACGCCGGGGACGCGGATGTACGCCCAGCTGGCATTCATGAGGGCGAGCTGGGGCCCAGGCGGGTTCTTGTAAGAGGCGGGCTCCATGCTGTCGGAATGGCCTCCTTCGCAGAGCGAAATGAAGCCCGCGCTGCCTCCGGCAAGCACCGCACCGCGCGCCGCCGCCCGCCGCAGCAGCGCGTCCACGCCGAGGCGCCTCCAGCGGTCGATGGCAAAAAGAGTGTTTCCGCCGCTGATGAGAATAACGTCAGCGCCCATCATGGCATTCCGCATCTCAGCCTCGCCCGGAGTGTCCCATGCGACACGGAGAGCACTGACACGACAGCCCCGCGCCTCAAAGCCACTGGTCTGCTTCTGGCGCGCAGCCGGGGCGTCGTAGGTGGCTGTGCCGAGGTAGAGCACAGCTGGCCTCGCCTTCCCAGCCAAAGAGATCACCTCGTCCACCGTCTCCGTCAGCGCGAACATGTCCTCACCCGATCCGGCGGCATAAATCTTGAGAGGCGCGAGGCGAGGTGCCGTTGAGGCTTCGCCATTGAGGCGAACGAGCGCGTTGGCGCTAAAGCCGGCACCTAGAAGGAGCGCGGCGAGAAGGGCCATGCGACGAGATTGCGGTGGCTCCTGCTGAGTCAGGAGACTTCGCTGGGAATCCTGCATGGGACGGAGGTTCCGCGACGCCGCCCGCCGCTTTATATCTAGATACGAAACGACGAAATCGAGGTGTGAAGAGACAGGCCCCGCAGGACGTGTGTGTCTTGTGAGTTGTGTCTATCTAATCTAATATTTGTGTGTCTGTTTTTGTTTCTTCACCTTCGATCGTGGGACGATGTGTGGATGACGCCCGCCGCCCAGAACTCGTGTGCCGACTACGACAAGTGCCCCGCATCTGGCACGTCGGGCTACTGTCGGGGTCCGGGCGATAAGATGTGCGACATCATCAAGTGCCCGGGCCAGACATCGACCAAAGCGGGCGCCGGGCTCTACTCGTCCTCTTCCAGGCTCACCTCGCGCCTGAGGGGCAAGCCGTTCCGCTACACCATGCCC